ACATCAAATGATGAATCAAATAACACATTAAATGAAACATCGAATCTTACATTTAATGATGCATCAAATGACACATCAAAACGCAAATCAAATCGTGCCACAAATAATCCAAAAACACCCCGGAAAATCAAACGAAAACAAAACCAGATTTTTACTGAAAAATTTAATGATAAAAGAGTGAAATTCCCTTTCATAAATCATTATCAAGACCTTCCTTTTCCTCAAATGATTAACAATGAAAATGGAAAATGCAGCTCTCATCCTCTGAGTGTGTTGTCAATTCGGGTAAACAAATTATCTTCTTCGTCTGATGAAGAAAATACAGATGAAAGCATTGCTCCATACTTTATGAACTACAACCGATGTTCATCAAGTGATTTTACTATATCTGGTGGAATTTTTAATGATTTGATGACAAGATTGAATAAGTAATTTTTTCTTTTCATGTTTTTAAAATAGAAATCGCTCAAATACTTTTTTTATTTTGTTTTGTTGTGATTGTTTCCTAAGAAAAGTTATTCATATGATAAAAAACTACTTAATCGTACATTGGGTGAAATTTCTCATGGCATTTTAATTTAATGACACAAATATTTTTATAAAATAAAGTATTCAATTATTTTTAATGTTTAATTGGTCATTCTCCGGTAATCTTCATCATCATCTAAATCAAGGTGAAAATATAGGTGAATAAATAGGAGTTTAATTCACAAAAAGTTAGCTTTGTTAATTTGTCAGATTTATCATGATTCAAGACATTCCTGTGGACTTCCATCCTTATGCTCATTTCATTATTGCTGCCGAAGACATCAAACGCTTCAATCCAATCGCTTCACACGTCTTAACTCAGGTATTCGTTGATATCTGCCAGGATGTCGTCCACACAACGACCAATCCTGCAGCCACTGATTTCCTCAAAAATTTAACAGACAACCTTCCTGATTTTCCCCGCGACGGCCCAGAAGAGACAAAATTACTCGCCGACGATTTATATGATTCGATCAGGAGCACTTTACGCTCTGGAAAAGTGACAAAACAGACGGCGCATCAATTGTGGTTATGCGGAGTGCTATACTCAGTCCTGGCTGGCGACGAGGCCATCAAACGAGAACGGATATGCAAAATTTCAGCCGCGAGAGTCAGAAAAATGCTGCTCACTTCCGCAATTTCACCCGACAATACTACTCAACAGCAACAGCAGCCATCAAAACTGCATCACGTAAATACTGAGCTTCACATGAAATCTCAGAAGCCATCAAAAAATCCACTCAAAACTTTTCAATCATCAAGTAAAATAAACAAAGTAAATTTGAATGGTGACCAACCAAATAACGCTTCAAAAAATACTAATAATAATTTGAATGATCAGAATGGTGATAATGGTGTAAGCTTTGAATCTTTAATGAGTCATTTTGATGAAGCAAAAGCCATGCAGTATCTTTCCGCATTAGGCGCAAACATGTCTTATACCCCACAATTGAATGAAAAATGCAAGCCTTCTATTGCTCAGAAATTGGATCTATCTTTGAGTTGTCTAGCACGAGATGATTTTGAACAAGCTGCGTCATTCCTTAATGCAGCCCAGCGTGCATGGAAAACTGGAAAGCCATGAGTTTTGTGTGAAAACATTTTTTATTTTCATTTTTTATTTAAAGCTGTTTTGAATTCTTTTTAATATGTATTCTTTTAAAAACTCTTGTAGACGAAATATATGGATTGATGATTCATTCTTTGATTGATGATTCATTCTTTGATTGATGATTCATTCTTTGTTTGATGATTCATTCTTTGATTGATGATTAATTCTTTG